TTTTTTTTTTTTTTTTTTTTTTTTTTTTTTTTTTGGACAATTCAAAGAAGTCTATGATATAAATGATAAATCTGAGTAATTCAACTGATTTTTACCAGTTGACTGATATTCTCTTATTTGAATACAGTTCTCTCAACTGCCAGTTTTCGTCTTTGTCTGCCACTGGCACTAATTTGCATCTAATGTTTTTGATACTTTTATAGCAGCTACCTGCAAATAGTTCAACAGATATTTGTACGGTTTGATCAAGCAAACAGATGTTGTCGCTTTCTGATTCCTACTGATCAATGGTATAGTAAAATATGTATCTTAAGTCTATTTGACAGATAGATGTAATGTATTGTAATTCTTAGTGTTTTTAATTATGCTAAATAATGCTAAGAACTATTCTGTAAAGAAACATTGCTCTTGTTTTTCACGTATCCGACTACTGCCGCTGTTGCTGATGTTCAAATTCGTGCTTTTTTTCTTGCCTATAATATAGTAAATAAAAAAGGAATAGTAAATGTACTGTTTCCTGAAAAAAACCTCATTTTTTTTCATTAAAAAATTATGAGTAATTTTAGTGTTTTCTCTTGTAGACAATAAATCTAACGACGAGTTGAAAAAGTATGAATAACAAACTAAAATTAGGTGCAGTAATTAGGCTGCTAAAAATGTGCCTTAAATATCAATTGAAATATTGACGGTTAGAGTGCATTTTATTGAATCGTTTTATCTAAGTTATTATTACTGTCTGTTATTTATTATTATTACTGTTATTTATTATTATTACTGTTATGATTACTCATATTATTAGTTGTATCAGTTTTTTTTTTGTTGATGTTTAAGCGGTTCTATGTTGCAGTTTATTATATATGTCGATGACAACAGTAATTTATGGGAGGTAAATTGTCGAAGAAAAAAAATCAAGCAGATATCGATAATAACTATTCACAGCAAACTGCTTCATCAGTAATTGAACTGGAGCAATTAAGTCCTACAATCAAGTATCGTTCTGCTTTTTTTTTGCTGTCTATCTTTTCAAATGCTTTAGTTTTGTCAGTTTAACTGATTGGAAATCAACAAATTACCGTAAAAATAGTTGTTGCCTGACAAAATTAGTGACTACTTTGTAGACAAATTGTAACCAAAAAAATTGAAAAATTTTCAATCTAGACTACTGATAAAACTGTTGATCAAATTGATCATATTTAAATAATTTTTTCTACCGTTATAATTTCAAATATTTTAAATATTTACGTGTTCACTAAATTATGCCTAAACATTTTTTCTTCATATATGACTTGGTATCTTTTTTTTTTGCCAGCTAAATGTTGTCATCTGTTTCGTAAAAATTTTAGATGAAATTATTAAAAGTGATTTCCTAAACTATCGATAGCCTTAAAAATTCTAGTGTAAGAAAAAAAGCAGTTTAAAAGCAGTAGTAATATAGGCAACATATCTAAGTGTACAGCTCATACTGTTTCTCAGTGATATTCATGCGTAATAATTTTTTTGAACTGTTAACAATAAACCTGTTTTCATTTCGTAATCTGCTGAACGCATAAATTTTTTTGAGTAACTTATTGAGAGCATAAAATGTGAGGGTTTAGGGAAAGACTGACTTTTGTTGGCAACAAAATAGAAATTTTAAAGTCAGTTACTTCATGGTAACTCAAACTCTCATCTGACTAAGTTTTAGGTCTTTTTTTTTCTTTTGAGACTAAAAACTATCGATTTGCAAAAATTATCATAAAAGTTTTTTACAGAATTGCCGAAGCAGCTACTGTTAAGGGGGCAATGATGACTGCGAAAAGTGACGATTCTGCTACTGAATATACAACTGTCGCTGAAACCTTAAATCGATCCAAAAGAACACCTTCAACGATTAATTCAAAAGTACAACCAAAAACTACATCATGCTTCATAGAGCGTACCCCATTCAGATGACTGTTATTTTTGTTGCACTGTTAC